ATAAAAACAGGGAGTGGGAAACAAGGCCGCCTCTTGGGACAGCCAGGCAGCCAGGCAGGCAGGCAGGCGGGCAGCCAGGCCTCCAAGACGCCCTGCTTCCCTTGCAATCAGGCTCACCGCCACAACAGCTTGTGCGGGGCAGCCAGGCCTTAATCACCCTCGCTGGAGCCTCCAGCGACGCCTCCCGGAGCGCCGCCTCCTCCAGAACGGGTCAGCGCGCCCCCATGAAAAACAGGGGCGGTCGGCTCACTGTAAGGGAGTCCCCTGGGACGCAGGACGTCCGCTTTCGACAACTTTACGCGTCAAAAAACACTTGCTTTGTTCCTGGAACCCGAATCTAACTTGTTGACATTTTTCGTTTCTCGATGCGAGAAATCCTGGTTTGTACTTCAATTTCTGTTCCTTCAATTTTTCGGTTTCCCGGCGGTTCTTGGAAAGAGTTCAAAGAATTCAAGGCCCTTTGGGATCGGATCGGAAAAACAAAGTTAGGACCCTTGAAATATGTCCGGCAACCGTCAAAGCAAGGAACTGCCTTGGAACAAACAAGGGGGGCACCTTGCGATGGGAGTACTTACCTCAAGGGTTTTTCTTTCACCGAACTAGTCGGCCTCGTTTTGATACAATTTTCAATAGGAAACGCGCGCTGAAAGTATCGCCTGCAGCCTCGCTGGTCACTGGCAGTCCTAGCAGGTTGATTCCGAGAGTCGTCGTCGCTCTGTCTCTCTCGCTCTGATGGAGCGTTCCGTACAGGTGCCAGAGGGGCAGGCCGCCAAACGAAACGACTCCCTGAATCAGTGTGCAGCCACCGGAAGCGGTGCCCCGCCCCCGCCTTGCCGACGCAGACACGTCGCTTGCCCGCTAATCCGATCCACCAATCTCGCCGCCCGAGGGTCGTTTTCGCCGCTCTGTCTCTCTTGCACCTGCAGGGGGACGTCCCATGAGTCCGTGAGTGCGAGAGAGACAGAGCGACGCAAACGACTCTCGGAATCAGTCTGCGGCCGCGAGTCGCACGCCTCAGCAGCGGTGAGCGAGCAGTGGACGGGGCGCGGTGTGGCGGCAGGTGATAGCACTGGAGTGCGTATGTGTGTGTGAGTGCGTATGTGGGTGTGAGGAGGGGGTGGGGCGCCTACCTTGACTGAGACCGAATGAATACACATCAAAAGGTCCAATTTTCCGCTCGTTCCCCCGTGCTTCTCTCTGTGGCACCAACCATCTTCTCGCTCTCTCCAACGCGTGCTCCGACTCATACACTTTCTCACCCTTTCTCTCTCTCTCCCTCTCACGCACACAGACACATTCTTTCCAGACTCACGCGGTATCACCGTTGCGGAGGCAGCAGGCTTCCGCAGTAAAACGAGAGAAAGAATGGACTAAAAGATTTTCCTGTGATGAGGCTAAACGCCCCCCCCCCCCCCCCCCCGCTCGCTCGACTCCATACGGTTGCGGCGCCGGGCCGGCCTCGGCGGTGGCGGCACGCACCATGTCGGGGGGGCGGCAGTTAGGTGGCGCCTGATAAGGCCAAAGGGGAAGGGGGAGGGGGGGGGAGTCGCCATAATAACGCGGGATGAACAGAGGAGGGACCGAAATTGGCGGTGGGGCAACCCAGGCGGAGAAACCGGTCGCAGGTCGTCGTGGCGGGGAGACAGGGTTGCCACGCTTTTGGGATTTTGGATTTCCCTGACATTTCCAGTTTTTTTCAGAGACATTTTTTGCCATTTTCCCTGACATTTTGGCCAATTTTTCAAGGGAGTTGTCGCGCGTGGAAAGGATATCCCGAGGGGGTATGCGCTCTCTGAACCAGTGTACCGACTATTACGCTATTACGCTCTATTACGCCACAAATTAATCGGAATTTAGCTAAAAACGGCCTAAAACACACCAAAATTGATAAAATTTTGACAATTTCGGCTATTACGCGACTATTACGCGTATTATTACGCGTGCTATTACAGATAGAGTGAACCGACTATTACGTGAGTGCATACCCCCTCGGGATATCCCATCCGGCGGATGGGCACTTTTTGACTTTTTGGCAAGAAAGTTGAGATTTTGACCTGTCTTCCACAGATTTCCCTGACATTTCCAGGTTTTCCCGGTTCTCCCTGACATGGTTTCATTTTCCCTGACAATTCCAGGTTTTCCCTGTTTTCCAGGTGCGTGGCAACCCTGGGAGACGAGGCGCGGGCGGCGCGGTGGAGGCTGGGGTGAGGGTCCCGATTCCGGACTGGGCGGTCACGTGGTCGCGTTGGCGCTGTTCGGAAAGGTCGTCGGCGACCACGTTTTCGTCGTTTCGGTGCCGCGGGGGCGTCGCGTCGTCGTGGAGGCCGCCGCGTGCCACTGTAACTTTACGGACGCGGCGTCCGAAGAGGGGGCGGCGGTCAAGGGCGATCCACAGTGGGCCAGAAGACCGGCGGAGGCGGCCAAAACTCTAGACGCGTTTTTGAGCTCCAGAGTCGCTAAGCAGGACCCGAACCGAACGTGTGACCCCACCAATGGATTGCTCTCCGAGCGAGGAATCCATTGGTGGGGTCACACGCTCGGTTGGAGTGCCATTTAGCGACTCTGGAGCTCAAAACGCGCGTCCGGAATTTTGACCACCTCCACCTGGCCCACTGTGAGGCCATGTCGCTAAAAATGAGTTACATTCAGTGGCAATGTGCGACTTTTTTCGTACCAGGCAGGCTGTTTTCAGTGCGTGTGTGTGTGTGAGACACTCTCTCCCCATCTCCTCTCTGGCTCCTGGCGGCGGTGCAGGGGGCGCGCAGGTGTGGGTAAGGAGCGCGGGGCGGCGAAGAGCGAAATAAAAAGACGGCGAGGAGGCCGGGGCTCGCGCGGCGCGTGACGCCGCGTGGTAACGCCACGTGGCCGCCGCGTCCGCCGCGTCGCCACGCCACTGGCGGAGCGACTCGGTGCTCTGCAATTCAATGCGCCGCGCTCCGAGAGCCTCGAGCGCTCCAAGCGGCGCTCCAAGCGCTCCGAGAGCTCGAAGGCCAGCGCGGCTTAAGAGGGCCGGACGAGAAGCCACCGCGGAAGGGGTCGTAGGACGCCGGCGGGGCAGACCGATTCCGAGAGGCGTTCTCGTCGCTCCGTCTCTCTCGCACTCACGGAGCGCTCCGTGCGGGTGCGAGAGAGACAGAGCGGTGCCTCTCGGTCTGCAGCGAGGGCATGGACAGGCCGGGCCTCGGATGGGGGACGGGACGGGGCTTACTTGGAAACTGATGAACTGGCTGGATAAATGAATGGGTCCCGGCCCTTGAGCCGGGAAGGCAGGCCCAGCCGGGCCGGTTGGAGGACCTGGCCGGGAGGGCACACGGCAAGGGCACGGGCCGGCACGGCCGGGACGACCCTAACCAAAAGTAAGTATTGATCTAACCACCGCCGGCACCACCACGGGCACGGACCCAACTAACTCGTGTCACCCTGGTCCGCGCCGACGCCAAGGCGCGCCAAGGTCTCTCACGGACAGCACCCGTCGAACCCGCGCCACACTTTTCGACTGGTTCCGGTTCCGAAGGCGGAAGTACTCTCGGAACGCCTGCACGCGACCGCCAGGCAAGCAGGCAGGCTGATTCCGAGAGTCGTTTTCGTCGCCCTGTCTCTCTCGCGCTCATGCGGCGTCCCTCATACAGTCGCGAGAGAGACAGGGCGACGAAAACGACTCTCAGTCTGAAGCAGGCAGGCAGGACCCTTCGCCCTTCCAAGGGTTCCAAGGGACAGGAAAAGCCTCGAGACGTGCCACTCAACAAGTGCCCGGCAACGCGGCAACGCGCGGCAACCAGACAAACCTTGCAAGCCCGGGGCACCGCGACACCACGCCTGTTGCATTCTCCTCGTGCAATTATTGCTCGAGGCGAGCATGGTTGCCAACGCCCAACGCCTCTGTGTGTGTGTGTGTGTGTGTGTGTGTGTGAATGACCGGGGCATAGGGGAGGGGGAAGTTGGAACTGTGTTCCTCGCCACTGTCGAGCACGTTCCCCGCCTAAGGTCCTGTTGGACGCACTTAGGGAATGGGGTTGGTCTGGATCGGGTCCCCAAACTTTACGCACGATACAGGAAGCGGGGCGTGCAGGGCGGACTTTACGGTGGGCTGCCGCTACGGCGCGGAGGCCAGGAGGCATAGTGGCGCTCAGTAATCATCTTTGTTTTCAACATCAACATGGATGAATTACGCATTCCGGGCTGCGTCTGCCCGCTGGGCCGCCAAACAGTGGGCCAGAAGGCCGGCGGAGGCGGCCGAAATCCCGGACGCGTTTCGAGCTCCAGAGTCGCTAAATGGGGCTCGAACCGAGCGTGTGACCCCACCGATGGATTCATCGTCCGGAGAGCAATCCATTGGTGGGGCCACACGCTTGGTTCGAGTCTTATTTAGCGACCCTGTAGCTCAAAACGCGTCCGGGATGTCAGCCGCCTCCGCCGTTCTTCTGGCCCACTGTGTGGCAGGCCTGCCGGCGAGGCAGGAAGCTGGGCTTCATCACTGCGCCGTGGTGGCCGCTGGCACGCCGACCAGCCACAGTGTGGCCAACAAAGCGGGCACAATACCGCGCGCGCCAGTGTCGCAATAGGGTTGCCAACCCGACCGCCACAAACAAACTTAAGGTCCGCCATGCCGCCTGCCCTGCCCCCCAACTCGCCGACACTAATGCAATTAACGGCCCACATGACCCGCACTCTCGAAAAGTGCAAGGGTCGGGTCGGGTCGGATCGCAGTGTCTCGTCGGATCTCGCGCCGGGTGGCATCCGCACTCGAATCAGGACGCATTCAGTGCGGTTTGAAGGGCCGTGCCGTGCGGCGCGCCCACTGCCAGTAGTTGGCATAGTTGGCAACTTGTGCCTGAGGCTTTAGCGGGCGTGGCTTGGAGGCCTGGCGGTCTGACAAATTGACCAAATTGACCCGGCGCCGCCCACACTTGGGGCTGGGGATGCTTCCACCAATCAGACCGTGATTGCTACCTTGCAAAAAAAGTTAAAAATCAAAGTTTTTGGTATTTTGATTTACTCACCAGCCGAGGATGGGCGGGCAGGTGATGGCGGCCGCCATGACCCACACGGCGAGGATCATGAGCAGCGCGAGGCGCTTGGAGCGCCGCCTGCGGGAGTAGTTGAGGGGCTGCGTGACGGCCAGGTACCGGTCCACGGAGATGGCGCACAGCGACAGGATGGAGGCGGTGCACAGCAGCACGTCCAGAGACACCCACAGGTCGCACAGCACCCAGCCCAGCTCCCAGGTGCCTGCAACAGCGAGGACAACGACGTGAGGGACAGAGGCAGGTTAGAGACTTAGTCAGAGACCGGGTCAGAGACTACGGAAGGAAGCTTTTCCGTCGTCTTTTCTTCTTATTGTGGCAGAAACCATACATCCATCCTGACCGCGTGTCGGTGGTGCACCACCGATCACCATGGTGATCAAGGGTCGATTGCTGTGACCTAACTTTTGGTCGAAGGGAAATTCAAGAGCGAAAGTTCATCTCAGGCACAGTCTCGTACAAGTCGATCCTGCGACAGAACATCCAAAATGATTCATGCCAACGATGGAGCGTCACTTTCCTAAGAAAAGGACCCCCATCATGACACTTTCGTTCCCAGTGTACTTCCAACTTTCTAAGTACGTCTTTTCGAACATGACAACAACAAGAACAAATGGCACAATCAGGAAAAAAACTTTAGAGGTACAAAGTCCCTTGTTCAGAAATGTCACCTTCCTGTAGCTCAAGCACAGTCCTTAGCCACTTATTGAGTCGGCAAAGACGCCCCCCCTCCAAAAGACAATTTCCTGGCAAACGTCACCTGCCGACGGTACACTCGAACGGAAGGGAAGCCAAATTATTATTTGCCGAGGGTTTCCAATCCGGCTCGAGCAGCAGCACCTTAATAAAGAAAATTTGAAACGCTCTATTTAGGGAGCGGAGTGCCGAAGAAGGAGCGCGTCACACGATATTAAAGACGGAGCAAAATGCGCAAAGACAGCTCAAAGAGAGAGGGAGAGCAGAAGTAATATAGGCCGCAAAGCAATCTGCTTTAATGGACGGGAACCGAGCCGACTGAAGGACATCCCCTCGCCTGGACCAATAAAGGACCGCTGCAGGCTGACGGCGGCAGCGTGGAGCGACAGAGAACCAAGAGAAAAAGGAAAGTTAAATAGCAAAACAGAGAGCAGCATCTGCAGAGTTTGGGGCGGCAAGTTTGTGTTATGAGCCTCATTAGCTGCCTCAAACTGTCACTGGCTGCGCGATGAACCCCCTCGCCGCCCAACGAGGCCTCGCCAGGCCCTCGCCAGGGCCTTACCCCGACTTTGGCACTTTGGCGGGTGCTTTGTTTACCCCTGTTTGCTTACCAGGCCAATCATTTTGGGCAACGTGAGCGGGCACGCACCAGCCAGCCGACACCTTGGGGCTAATCGTTTCAGTACAGTCACGCATCCAGTTGGCTTTACGAGGAGAGTATGAGTACAACATTCCGAGACAGTGACAGTAGCCGACAGTAGTCTTCCAATGGCAAGGATAATCAGAAACTTGAAATGAAGGTGCGTGTGCTTTTGAGAGTCCTTTTACACTGGAAGAAAAACATATGCAACAAGTTTAGCCTGGACCGCCCGTGCTAATTACGGATCTTCTGTACCTTTTTTCGGTACCCGTTTCCTGAACCTAACACGTTCCGTGCGTTTCTCCTTTTTTCCAAACTGCATTCTTCTAAAATTTTCCGTACAAAAATACGAAAGACCTAAGAGTGTAGTCATTCTAGTAAATAGCTCGGACATCGATTCCAGACTTTCCTTTTCGTCTATCGAACCTGCTCGTTTATTGTATTATCAGGACCCCGAGGGACGCCAGAGGGGTCTTGAGGGCAGCGGCGGTGTAGGCACACAGCTCAGGTCGCACGACACACTTCGGACCGCTTCGCAACTCGCCGCCCTGCCTAAGCCTAAATCCACACCCAGTGTTTGGGGACTAAGTTGCAGCAAATAGTGGGAGAACCGAAAAGCCTCACCAGCGCCAACTGCTCCTTTCCCTCAAGGAAACGGAAATGATATAAGATGGACCAGTCAAGTAAAAAAAATGTCGTTGATAGCGTATTTCAAACAACACAGTAAGTATATGATATTCTTGCTTCTAGTATCTTATAAATATTACAGCAATGAGTTGAGTAAGAAGGTCCTTTGCCGTATCGGAGTCGGGTTAGAGGCCGGAGGCCCGTCGAGCGGAGCCCGGGTGGACGCACCACGTGCCGGGTGAAGGAGATGCCTCTATTCCTCCTCCGCCCACATGCAGACTCAGTCAATCAGCCACTGACTCAGTTGCTGCTCCTTTCAGGCACAGTCGGGAACAATATTATTAGGATGGTTAGGATGGTCCCCATCGGCATTACGGTCACGATGGTCTCAGAGTCCGCATGTTTCCCTTTCTGGAATTCGTGGGCGTATGAGCATAGATTTTCGAGAGACTTCAGAGAATAACTTTGGAGAATTGTAATCTTGGGAGGAAAGGATTGGAAAATGTTGAATTGGAATTTAGATTTAGCTTTGAGAAAATGTATTTTGAAAAGCAAATAAATGGGAATTCTTTCTTTTGGGGAAATGGGTGAGGACGTATAATGGATACATGCTCGATTTCTGGACCCCAGCAATCCAGCTAGCTAACTCCTTTTAATGTGTCTTACGCCAGTCTTTATCATGTTTAAAGGTAAAGAGCTGCTCTTTTTTCTTGTTAGCTATCAACGCAAAAAAAATCTGCATTTTATTTCTGACCCACGCCGTTAGTCCGTTTCGTAACGTTAAGCCCATGGAGTGGGCCTTCCCCGCCAAATGGCGCCGGCATTCCAGACGCCGTAATCGGCTTTGCGGCGCTCTCTGGAGGCGATCCCTGCATCGGCAGGGGGCCGCCCGCCCGTCCGGCCTCCAGTCTGTCCAGACCGGCAATTAAACTTCACATTTTCATTGGACTCCGGGAAACGTGCGTTTTTTCGTATGAAAATCGAACGCAAAGTTGGTCTGTACAAAAAACTGAAACGTCTCGTACAAAAGTGAACATCATAACCTCCACTGTGGGGCCGTCCTGGGTGCCTCCGTCACCGACAGCTAAGCCGAGCGCGTGGGTGCGCCGTTTGTTTTTCAACTTTTTCTCCCTTTTCTCTTTCGTTTTTTTCCAGCAAGTCATCGTTCACCGGCCGGTTCGCGCGGACCGCGCACTGCGGGGGCGCACTTTATTGCATGCAGCTCAGCGGGGCGGAGCGAAAAGGCACATGTCCCCGAAATTGCCGCGGCCAGTGGCGGATCCAGAGGTGGCTGTGGTGGTAGTGGGGGTGGTGGGTCAAAGTAGCGCTCTTTGCCTACTAACAGGGGGCTTTCCGTCCACCTTTCAAGGAGTCAAAATGAAAGGTGACTCCGTGGAGCGGGGTCCCATTCATTGGACCCGCGCCACACAAAAAAGGCTACGAAGCATAGCTTTCTAATCCGAAGAGCCAGAGCCATTGTAAAATCTACGAGGAAATACTTTGTATTTTTAAGCAGAACCCTTCACAGTACGAAGAATTCCTTTGAAATACGATACAATTCGACAATCCTCTAATTTCAGAGAAGTCATAAAGCAGACGCTTCGTAGACCTTTTTTCCAGAGTGTTACGGTACAGACAGGGGTCCGTTTTCTGGCCGAGCAGGGAGATCCGCTGCTGCTGCCGTCGGCCGGCCTTGCCCGGCCTTGCCCGGCCTTGCCGCAGAAGGGCCGGTCGGTCCGGCAAGCCGTCCATCCGTAGAAGGTCTGCCGCGCCGCGACCGCTATGAAAACTAGTTGTCTGCCAAAAACCAGGTCAGCGGAGGCGCGCGCCTGCAGCCAGCGCGCCACAGCAGGACGGCCCGACCGAAGTTCACCGCCGGACGCGGCGCAGCGCGCGCAGCGGTTCGTGGTGCAAAACTTAAAAAATTTCCGATGGTCCGCAACGAGGAGAAAAGTTTCCAGTCAAGGCCTCCGGGGCTGCTGCAGCATGCTGTGGGGTGCCCTGCCCAAAGGCCCTGCCGGAATGGAGGCTGTTCGAAGGCCGTCTCGGCCAGCCCCCGCTTCTTTGGGACTCCTTGGGACGCTGTGCGCGCTGCCCAGCTTTTTAGCGCAGCCAACGACCACACTGCAGCCTCGGCGGAATGGATTTCCGCCCTTCTAAAAGCGAGACTTCCGGTTCCGGCGCATGGCGCGCCCAGCTTGATACGCTGTCTCAAGAGCGTGCTGTTTCGTTTTATTCGGTCCCGCTCAGCTGCACTGTTGTGACCTCGACGCGTGCTAGGAAAAGTATCACAATCATTTACACTGCGCGAGAAAGATCCTGATTATTTGTTCAGCTCGAGAAAGACCATAATTATCTGCTCCGTGCTATACAGAACCACCTTTCTGCAGTGGTTAGGGTTGTCGTTTTTATCTTCAAAACACAACAAATCACACTCACAATGGGCCACTTTGCTCTGACAAACTTTTTCCACATGGAGGTGACTCATCATTCAGCAAAAGCAAAACTCAACTGGTTTAAAAACTGCAAGCCTCGCCAAACTCGCGAGGTGCATAAAGAAGTTGCGATCTTTCTCGCACATCACAAACAAAGTTGGATCTTTCTCGCGCTGCACAAACATTTAAGATACTTCTCACAGACATTTCTCTTATTCATTCACGGCCTGCTGCTATCAAAGTTTACACTCGCTTACTGAGTTGAGCAACGAAGATACTGTCGTGTCTTTTCAAGCGAGAGAGATGGATCTTATCTTCGGCTTGTTTGAATGGATGACGAATTGAGCAGTCTTTCTTCCAGGGTAGGGTGTTTCCAAGAGCTCTGTTCATTTTCCTAAGTATGCAGTCCCACCAAACAATGCTCCCCGCAGGCCAGACGCGTGGAAAGGGTGGTGGGGGCAGAGGTAGTCGGGGAGGGGGTACGCGACGGAGAGAGAAAGAGGGGGGGGAGGGGGAAGGGGGCTAGGTGTGAAAGCCCTCCGCAGCATTGCATACTTACGAAAAAACGAACGTCACGTCTGAGAAACGCTGAGGAACGCCCTGCGCAAAGTCGTATTTGCTCGCGTGTGTGCCTGGCACTGCCTGCTCGGCTTGCTCCACCCACGCCGCTGAAAGTACCACACACCGCCACGCCGCCGGGGGTACAGTTTTACAGTGTACAGGGTTAGCGGGGCACAGTGGGCCAGACGACCGGCGCCGGCGGCCAAAACTCAAGATGCGTTCTGAGCTCCAGAGTCGCTAAATAGG